TAACTTGGTTACCCCCTGAAGCTTTTTAACCCAACATGTTCAGTTGTATGTGTATAAGAAGCAGCCATGGCATGGCACTGTTCCTGGAGTCAATGGAGGTCCTCACTTTGAACAGGATACCCCTTTGAAGAGGTCCCTGGGCCATGTGCAGCAGGAAAGGCCCTGCCAGTAGGCTTCTGCTGGAGAAGAGCTGCAGAGGAGTGAGTGGAAGTAAAGGATCTTGGAGCCAATGAAAAAGCACAGTGTTTCTATTCAGAAGTTCCTGGCTTCTATCTATTCTACCAATATCTTCTGAACCAATGGCATTATTGAGGCACACACTCGGTCCATAGAACTTTATGGAATTTCCCTCCTCCGTTTGCTCCCACAGATTCAGAGGAAACCTGGCTCAGGTGAAAGGGAAAATAGCGAACTGGACTGAACCAATATCTGAACAGTCAGATGCTCGGCCCAAACTACAAATCAAACAGCAAGAGAATTTCAAAAAGATTAGGAACATGAATGTGCAGTGTTTATTTTATTTGGATTTCAGATGGATAAATACAAAAGTATGGATCAGTGTTTTCCTATTTCAACCTATGTTTTGCTTTCACACTATCCAACTGATTCAATACGCTATGCCCTCCCTACTCCGGAGGTCCCTAATTAAGGAACACCCACGGTTCGGACGCTGCCAGTTGGAAGCAGTTTCATGTGCTGCTACTCGCCCCTTCCTGCCAGCTGGGGGAACAGCAGCACAGCAACACTGGCAGTGCCTGGGAGCAGTGGGGGACGCAGCGCGTCAGGTAAGCGCCCCACCTCTACCCCACCTCACTTCCTCTCTGTCCTGGCAAAATCTTTAATCTGGCAAACCCTGTTTCCTAGGGATGCTGGATTAAAGAGGTTTGAGTGTATAACCCTTTTTGTGTGTGCGTAACTATGCACATACATGTATATACCTACCTATATGCATATATCCATTTCTATTTAGAATGAAAAATTTGAAATTAATTGTACTGATAATGGAAAACCTTCACGAGGAAAATGAACAATATCTTTTTGACACCTCTTCTGATTTCTAATCACCTGGCATTCAGTCACATAATGTAAAAATCTTACATTATACCTTTGATGTACTTTTAAAACAAGTCGGTTAACCCAGCTCACCTAATGTAAATTTGATTTTTAAGGTCTGATCCAAAGGCCTACTGAAGTCAATGGAAAGTTCCAAGTGATTTCATTCAAATTTGCATCAGGGCATTAATGCAACTTACATATACTTGAAGGGGGAACTCTCTGGCTTGAACAGCCATTCAGCGTAGCTTGTATTGTTTATTATACAATCAAATCACACGATCGCCTTCATCGATATTATTGGCCTTCCCCAGACAACGAGAAAGTACAGTTCATACACGGCAACCTAATATTATGCATGCAAGGAAAAGCAGTGCCTTTACATTGTTAAACATTACTGTAATCAATGGAAAAAAGATTATAGCATGGCACAGTACAGTGACATAAATGTTATGTAAGAACAATAAAGCAGAGTTTGGCAAGACACTGATAGCACCAGTAGTCAAGACCACAATGCTATTAAAATTGCAAAAGGGATACTGCTGACTCTTGTGATACTGTTTTCCTTCAAGCCTTGGCTCTTGGAGTAAAGTGATGCCATGAGGTTCTTAGCTTTCAATAATAATAATAATAATAATAATAATAATAATAATAATAAATAAAAAAGCTTCATAATCATGGTGGCTACAAAGTGCTAAAATCAAATGCACCCTAAAGCCTCCAAATCCCAAAAGGCAAATTAAAATGAACCTAAAATGTATTTATTTTTAAAATCTCATGATTGCAAGTGAACCTCATGACTTGTTTGCACCTGACTCTTGCTTTTTGAACACTGGGGATTGGCAATAATGAAAAAGCTAACTGCTTGTTTATTATAATCTACCAAGGGGCTACAGCTAAACAGACTAACCTGTCTCACCCTGCTTGTAATTTAACAAAGCACACACTTTGGACGTGGAAAGTCTCTGTGCTCAGTCTATGCCTGCAGGTGAGGTTTTGAGGAAAATACCTGAAACCAATTTTCAGTTCTTTGGATAAAACTAAGCCACTCTTCCCATGTAAAAAATATTCTAATTATACTTTCCCAGATATGACTATGGGGAAGAATATTTTTTTTAAAAAGGAAATACAACACTTGGTATTGAAGATGAGTGTGTCTGCTTTGTTTGCAAAGAAAACTAGCTTGAGTTGCTTAATTATAACTCATTTAGTTTAATGTAATTAGACACATATTTAAATGCTTTGCAGAATTAGATGCCTGATCCAAAGTCTACTTAAATTAATGGAAAGATGGCCACTGATTTCAGTGGATTTTGGAACCACTGAAGCCAAAGGAAACACAGCCACTGACTTTAAAAGGTGCAGGACAGAGCAAATAATACTTTGTGTTCTTGTGTATTATGTAAATGCACAGGTAAATTTAAGACCAGATTTGACTACAATTGTTCAGTAGGATCTTACTTTACTCCTCCCGTTAAAATCAATGCAAGAAAGAAGGCAAAAGATATGACTTTGAATGAACATGTTTTGGCTCAAAGAACTTGCAATCTCTAACACTGGAGCCTATTTGGAATCTTAGCGGATTGCTTCTAGCTTTTTTCATATTTACAAAGCTAAGACAATATTAATACACAAGTTCCATATTGGTTGGAAATTAATATTATTATATTTGTGTTAGATGTATGGATTGGATGTAATTTAAAATACACTTTGAAAAAGGGAACCAATCTAGCTCTCATGTTACATTATGGTTGTGAGACCAATGCTGCAGCAATATTAACCCAATCCATATTGTACATACATAGAATTTTTCATTCCTTTGTCTCTGGTAAACTCTAATAAAATACCTTTATTATTAAAATATACTGTCAAACATAGTGGCTGTCCAATAATGGTTAATGGTTCAGGAGAAACCTGAAATTTGGGAAAAATATATCACTTTTGAACTTTCAAACTTAATGATTCAATTGTGCTAGGACTTTTGCCCTTTCATGTGAGGTTGTAAACTTGGAGAAAAATTTAACATCATGAATTTGACCTTGGACATTAAGATTTAAGACCCAGGCATTTCCAGAGAAGAAAAGTTAAACCCATAAAAACATTAAGTTCTGTTAAAATGTAAGTAAGAAAACTGCCTTGTTAAAACATTTCAGGAGGCAATGTAGTTCTTAAATTATTATCCAATATGGAGCCATTAGAAATCTAGCCTTTAGCTGAGGAAGTGCATCTTTCTAGTAAAAATGACATGCTACTATGACCTCAGCAGATGATTTACTTGAACTGAATGGCCTAGGATGCATAATTCATAGATTGGATTGAGAGGCGCTCTAGGGTTAATCTGAGGAAAATCCTTAATTTCAGTCAAGGTATGATTCAGTTATTAGGAGGTAAAACTAAACCTACAGTAATTGTGGACAACAGACAATGGAAATCTACTTGTATACAAATACGACAGAATATGCAAAGCAGAAAAATCTCTCCAAGTATTTTTTCCCCTTGGATCTCTCAGTTTTTTCTTTCTATATAACTACCCAAAATACAAAACATCAAACACAAACCTTGAGCTCCAAACCAAGCTCCAAAAATGCCAAGTGTGAAAACTTCCTTGAATGGCTCTGCTCTGTTTATCATATTAAGATATATATTCTGATGAGAAAAATGCTAGATCGTAAATGTAACATAATAGAAACGGCAAGCGCTGCCAGCAGGTCTGAGGAAGAGAAAATAATTCAGGGATATTGTCATCTGTAGGCCAATTTATATTCTCAGACAGAAGGCTCACGTTAGTCTCTGATGCCACTGCAATAATGGCATAATGTAATGATTGAGCCGAGAATACCTATGGGGTATAGCTATCCCATGCTTTATATCTATACTTGTTTAAAGTATTTCAAGATCCATTCAAAGGGAAGCCAGAAGAAGCTAAAGACCCGGATTTAAAAAGTATTAAAAATGTTCCTAAAGACACGTGACTATTTCAGCCGTTATTTTGTGATGGCAAAGAAAGACCGATGCTACATTTCATTGATTCACTGAGTTCATGATTAAAATAAACTAGCATGCCATTTTTTTTAAATCAAGCTAGGAAAAAAGCTTTTTAACAGTTCTTCACGGCAGGCATAATGTGCATCTGTGCTCTGATTTACTGCACATGCTGCCTTCTCTAGCATCATGTTAAGTTAGGGTATCAGCATGGCAGGTCACTCAGTGGGAGAGACCTTTTACTAATCACTACACATCAGTTACTACTGGCACACAGCTCATTACCAAGAATTCCTCCAACTATCTGGCTTTCAAATATGCTTACACTTTGATTTGCTTCCTCCCCCCACTCTCTTTTTTCTGCCAGACCAAAGATTATACTTTTACATAAAAGCTTCTGTTGTGTAATTTTGTCAACTAGGGTTCTAAAGTCATAAAAGGCTCCCAGTTAATTTTCCATGATTACAAAAAAAAAAGAAAAAAAAAAGAAAAAAAAAGGAGAATGCAAGCTTGTATCAAAGGTAGGCCTGTAATCTTGGGTTTCATTAAGAAGGTCAGAACATTTTTAGTTGTCACCCATTATTAAAATGTTTGAGGGCTGCCATTAATTTGATTTTCAGGACACAGAAACCTAGCTGGAAATTAAAATGTAATCCTGCTGTTGCTTTATTGCCACTTTAAGTAGGGTAGGATATAGCTGCAGGAACTAAGAGCTCTCCTGCAATTTACAATTGGTTACTCTGGACAAATGGCAGGTGACTAATGCAAGATAAAGTGTTTGTACTACCAAGAAGCGGTTAGTTTAATTTCAGGGACTGAGTCTGAATCACGAGTTGTTCCTTGCTCATACACAAAACCCATTTTATACACAAAGACTAACATCATGTGATCATTACAGAAAATGGAATTTAGGAGCCTAAGAAAGTGAAATATAATTGTACAAAATGAAATGATTTTTAACTCACCAGCCATTTGCTGAATGCCGCTGAAGGCACCCAAGTTACTGGAGGAAGTTGCTTGCTGCAGAAGCTGCAAATGAATAATAATACAACCATTGTGATCTAAATGGTGTTACAAAAAGAAGCAACAAGATGAAAACAAAATTATCCAGCAAGTTCAAATTGGAATACTTATAGTTTCCTTTACTTTATTTATATAGTCTCTTGCTTCTGCCTATTGTTGGAATGAACATCCCCAGAGTTGATGCTGTAAATCCATATTAATGTCTAATCTCTATTAAGAAACACACAGACACTGGGGAAACTCAATAACATTGCTGCTTTAAAACAATTAATCAATTTACCCTTTTTAACAACCAGGTGTTAAATCTATTTAAACCAACATAGCGTGACTAATTATAGCCCTCTACAGTCTAGCAGTTACCATAACTCATCTCTGTCAATCACCGTCCATTCTCACCCAACCCCTTAAATTCAGGTTTCTTTCTTTGTCATCCTTAGAACAGGGTACATCAACTGCACAGATATTCATTAATGGAGAGGCTAGCACTTAGCTGGTACAACAGTCAAGAATCACTATTAACTCTTTGTATAAAGGGTATTATTATTATTTTTTTTAAAGACAGCCAGCTAAGGTATACCTATACAGGTTTATAACCACCACTCCCCCCCATTCACACACACACTTGATTTACACAGTCTGTACACACAAAAATCCTAATTTCTGAGCGCATAGGAAGTTCCTAGTTGTCAATATATCATATAATGTGACCATTCACAACTCCACTGCAGCAAAAGGCAGATATCCTTGACCACTTCGAGCAATAAGGGAATCTCTGTTATCAGTCTATGATTTATGACACACTCAAGCTATTCCAGATTCCTCCCAGTAGAGGGCAGGTGTACAAAGCAAAGTAGCTAACTAATTCTCCTCTCATAGCTTTCAGAGTCAAAGAAAATGTCATTTAAAAATGTGAGAAAATAACCAAAATGCCCATCAAATCTACCTTCTATAAAGTAATATGAACCTTGCATTTTTAGTACCAATAAAACAGTATTTAATTTGCAGACTTTTACTTGTTAATGTGATAGCCATTTTCAAATACATTAAAAGATTAACTTGAATGAGTACAGGGAATATTCCCATGTGAAACTGATAGGCAAGAAGAATTAAATCCAAGCATTGTGGATTCAAAAGACTTTTCACCACATACAGTCAAAGGGAGTTTTCAGATTTCTATCTGATCTCTGAAAGGTGAAGATTTTACTTTGATAAGAGAAAGCATTTAAGATGTATTCAGATTTTATTTAAAAAAAGAAGCAGAATTTAATGTTAAAAAAGTCAGCGGAAATATCAGTGAAGTTGCATTTTCCCATCAAAATGGAATTTAAATCTTCACAAGTCTGCAAGGCACTGAAATAACGGGAAGCTTCCATTCCAAACTGCTGTTATCAATATAAAATGTTTTATATAGTGCCACACAGTTATGTGGCACTTTAAAGAACGAGTCACATTATCTGCTCCAAAGAGCCCAAATCAAAATGTAGGAAGCTCTATGTTATCAGATTCGCTATCACTAGCTTTCAGCGTCCAAAAATAAATATATCAGTTTAAGTCTAAAAATGTGGTTACTACATTTCACAAGAACTTACAGCTAGGTACTGTGGTGTGAGTCCTCCAAGGCCTGTGAGGTTCCCCCAAGTGGCAGTGTTGAGCTGCTGCATCTGTTGTGCCAACTGCTGTTGTAAACGCCTCTGCTCCTTATCCTTTTGGGTATCGGCAAACTTCACCACTATGGGCGAAGAGCAGCCCTACGATTGGACAGATTGGGAAACAAAGACGTCAACCGCATACACATTTACATGATTCTACCATGAAGTGTTTTTACTTCCTTTAAATCCATTTGAAATATCCTGAAATGATTTCTTACATTATTTTATTATTATTCATCTACGTTTGAAATCTGGCTTATGAAAAATTATTAATTTCCTCTCTCTTTTCACTGAGCTCCTTCCCTTCCAGATCTTTGTGTATGCTCAACTATCTGAATGCCCCCTGGAGAGACACATCAGAGTTTATCAATGCTCTTTAATTAAGCTTCACGGTTCATGTGTTTTAAAGATGGACTTGTCTCTTTGTTTTCTGTCTGTTTTCAAGTAATAGCCAAAGACCCTGATGGACATAAACAGTGCCAAATGAATGAAAACAGAGCTCCTCTTCTCATCTAATTTTGAAACTTTTTGCTTTCATATATTAACCTCAAGATTTTTTGTTTTAATGCTCTGGAACAACACAGCATTGATTCCAATTTATTTTTGGCAAATGGATAAGAAGATTCCATAGAAACCAGCTGTCTTTGAATTTTATATTGCTGCCCATCACTATTATGTCTGAGCACCCTACCCACTTTCATGCAAATTTCTCTCCCACTCCCAATTTGAGAACCACATTAGGTGCCTCAGATCCAGAGATACAGCAGGATTTTAGACACAGTTTACAATATGCACTGGGGGTTTATACCTAACTAAACTTCTTTCAGGCCTACCCTGGCTACACTGTGAGTGTCTTCAGAAAAGTTCCCATTCTCTATTTCTACAAAATAGTAGCTATATTCTTTTTCTCCCAGGAACTTCACAATAGGACTACGATAGGAACATTCACAATCAACAGACAAAATGATGAAATAAGCCACGGTAATAATATCTTTTGTGTGAAGACCTCCCATCAATACCGTTCCTTTAGAATTATCATCTTAGAAAACGATCACTGGAGATGTATTATTCCACCCCCAGTACCTTGCTTGTATATTTCATTGTAAAAATGTCTTTCAATTTTTCAGTGAGTAAAAACGGAGATACACACTTCAGCAATTGAATAAAGATTATGGAGGAGTTAGCTTCGTACACAATTGCCTCTTCTCAGTGATTTTATACTAATATTAAAATCAAGCTCTTATCTTTTTTTAAATTGAAATATTTTTCCAGTTTAGCTAATAAAGAAAGGTAATAGCAAGGCTTGTATGCCATTTCAGACTGGCTTTGGTGGTGGTAGGCTCAGTGCAATGATAGTTTACTGCTTGCTACATTTGCATACATGAGACTCTCAGGTCTATTTCAAAGGACATAGGAATTCATTTCAAAAGAAAGAAATAGTTTATGTCTGTTGCAGTTCTCAGCTCAGCAGTTCAATACTTGACATAACAGCTGACATCATATTTATGAATGCTGAAATGTCAGTAAATTGTGTAAAAACAGTATCCTTGTCATTTAGGAAGCTCTAATTCTTCCCTCCCCCCAATTTCTGCTCTTATTTCATCATTTTCAAGAGAGCAAACATTCTGAAGATTGAAGTTATACGTAACAAAATGGCTGTAACATGAGAAAAATGTTGCTACTTGTTCCATGTTAACAAATTAGTTTCTCCTACTAACGCTCCATTGAGTGATGGTTTTTTAAATACAAAAATGAGGCAGAAAAGCAGAAAATGAGGGCAGGGATTATGGTTTTAAAAATGAGTTGCTTAAACCAGGATAAAGAGTAAAATGCAATGAGCAATTGAAACATCCATTATTTCCAGGAGACACTTGCTCTTCTGAACATGAACAGCCTCATCATTTTGAGTCACTTTGAAAATACATCTTAGTCAATGATGTGTGCCAAAGAACTGAAAATAATGAAATTAGAAAAGAAAAAAAAACCCGGCAGTGGTTCAATTGAAACTTCATTGAATAATACTTAATCTTCTATTTTACAAGTCTTTTTTCCCCATTAAATGTAAAATCAAAGTGCCCAGGGGCACTATTATTTCAGAGAATGTACAGATTTAATAGCTCTCAAAAGTCAACTTTTTATGTCATAGCACTGACCTGAAAAATACCTTCCTTCTCAACGTAAGAGGTACCCCTTATTATGTGAGCAGGTATGGGGTATCTCCTACCTCATCACTTTACGGGTGCTTTCTATCTCTCCGTCTCAATGGGAAGCACTGCCTCTCTACCTTTACTTCTGCTGTTCAAGTAGAACATGCAGACTCCTACCGGTACCGTGCCATGAATCGGTGAGGCTGCTCCACCTCCCACAAAAGAGTAAGCACATTAGTTCTGCTACAGACCTAAGCCTAGATGACATCATGATGCTAAGGTCCAGGATATTCTGAACTTCCCTGTCAGTTTGGGATCCTACCTGTGTACCCTAATTATAGGTGAAGATTCGCCTATTTTTAAGGCTGGTAAATAGTATTTTCCTGTGCGACTAGTTATTTACATAGGACTAAATCATGATACATTTCTTCACTTCAAACTATTGGATTATCTGTGGCATAAGGTTCTACTCAACATAAGGAAGTATATCACAATGGGGTGTTGTTTGAAATACGGTACAATATTCAGCATATGAAAGGGAGAATCTGACCTTTAAGGATTATTTCATTTTACAACATCCTCTGACGTGAGGTTGATTCATGTGAAACTCATTACCCTGGACCAAAAATACATGAGAATACACGGAAAATACACATAAATTCCCCAGCATTATTAACAACACTTCTGTTTTATGTGGAACCCAAATGAGCAAAAATATACCGACCCAAATTAATGGGGCAGTGTATGGCAGAAAAATAAAAAGAAGCATTATTCCAATAAACTAAAATGTCACTTTTTATTTCATATATAGTGTCATAGTGCATAGTAAACTATATATTAGCTAATAACAGCTTCCTAGTGAAAATAATTTCAATAATTCTGATTTTTCTCTGTGGCAGATTCTCATCTAACACTGTATATTCAGGGTTTATAAAAATGCATTGCACTGAAAAGAAAACACATTGATTATAAAATAATCTTAACCAAAGTCAAATGTGATGTTTGGAAAGACAATGGCTTCGCAATGCCAAAATCATTATTGTAGAGTACAGAAAACAATTGACATTTCCATGCAATGTGTCTTTTTTCTCCTCTGTCTTTCCCTTCGCTCAATACACAAAGCAGCTCAACGACATGACGCAATAATGATTGTTTAGTACCCAGCATGCTTTGGGAGACTAGAGCATTGCAAACAAAAATTACTGGAGAAAAACTGAAAGATCCTCGTTTAAAAAGAATAATAATTCAAAAAAAGAAAAGAAAAGAAGAAACAAGTGCACATAACATCCAAATGCCACCTCTGAGAAAATCATCAGTACACAAAGATACAGTATACATAATACAATATAACATGCAGTCTCAAATGATTAAACTAGAAGATCCAGAATGAGTAAAGGCTTAGTACTCTTGGGAGACTTTTGTGCAAAGTTCTGAGAGACCATGACATAAATCACAGACTAAAAAAATTGAGACCACAAGATGAGCTGTGGCAATGTAATAACTAAACTGAGAAGTGGCTCTTACCCTGAAATTGTAGTCGCACCAGGTAAGTAAAGTTAAAGCATCGTGTTGCTCATTATTATAAAGTACGATGCCAGGAAAGCAGTTTTTAGGGAATAAAAGATTGCCGTTAGTACAGAGCCTGCCGTGGCAATGCTCTGCAACAAGTTCAGCTCTTCAGTGTGCTCTGACATAATTAGCATTTTTATTGGCTACATGAAGTAGGAGAAGTTATATTAACTTAAAAAGAGGTTCCATGTGCAAAAAAACAAAAAATCCCGAACATGTGCATTAGTAGCTTGGTATGGCCAGGTTAAAAATCCCTCTAGAGCCTTTGCCCAGAGCAGCACAAACTGTGATGTTTTAAAATCCATGTAAATTAAGGCACTTTGTCAGGGACATAAACTAGTCTCCAAATAAGTTTAATTTAATTCTTTGATTTATGTTTATTTTCTACTCAATGCCACTCATTATAAAAGCAATAGCTGGGTTTAGTACAGAGCAATTGTGGCTTGTGTTTCAAGATCATCGAGAAAAAATAAATGTCACCAAAAGAGAGTGAGTTTTGTGAAAGTTAAAATCTGTGATTGTCATGTGTCTGATCTTCTCCAGGAGACCATGGCTTTACCATTCACAATCATTTGCACAAAGAAAACAAAGAAAGGGCAGATGATACAGTACTGTACCTCCATGGTCTGAGACTGGTGCATGGCTTTGATTGCATTCTGTGCCATTGCCCTTGTAGAAAATGTAACAAACGCACAGCCTGTGGGAACAAGGGGACAGGGAGCAGGAAAGACAAAAAACAACAAGACAAAAGGGTTGGACGCTTGTTAAACCAACACAGTCTACGAGAACGGCCACAAGACGACACTGTTCTCAGTAGTACATAAAAGTAAACAACTCCTCTAATTTATTTATTGACAGTGCTGACTTGCTAATCTGACCATACTTGACAGGGAAAAAATATAGATGCGGGGACTTGTGCAGAGAGGGTGGTGGAGAAGGGTTTTGTTGTTGTTCTTTGTGAGCCACACGGTTTGAAATAAGTAAAGCTTATTTATATGTTCTCAAATGTAAAGTTTGGAATGTACATTTTAATCCCTTCCAAAGCATGCATTAGCAGCTACCTGCTATGGCTTTTTATTGATGGTTGGTTTAAAATAAACTGCTGGCATCACTGGCAATTAAGTCACAATTGAAAGAGCTCACAATGCCACTGGTAAATTTCATCGAGAGGGTGTGAATACAAATAAAAACGAGGGAAAAAATGTATAAGCAACTTTGAAATTAAGAACAGGGGAGCCCCGTGTTGATCCCAGACTAAATTCACTAATGCACATGGAATATAATTTTTAAATGGATTTTTTTTCAAATAAAAATCCCTACGTATTTTTTTTTAAAAAGTCCTGATTACAAGTACAAGGATAATTCTTTGATCTACAAAAACTGTGGCCACCTTCAAATATACTGGAGCTGTGTGTATGTGAATAATTGAAAACTACTTTTTCCCTTTTAAACAATAGTTAGTGCCTGAGCTGTTTCCCCAGCCGGCCTTCCCTTTATTGCTACTCATACCAATACTGGGCCTGGTGTAGGTCAAGTTTAGTACTACATGGCTCACTGCCCTTTTAACTAATAAAAACACTGCCTTCTGAAATTTACATTTTATTCTTTTTCATGCACCCTTGGGCACCTTAAAGAAAAAGACTGTGAAATTAATGCAGATTCAGGCTGATTTTGTAATAATACCACGGCACACTAAAAGCTTAGCTAAAGCAACACAGACTTATTTCACTTGTGATCTCTAATGACTTTAACAGTGCATTGATTTTCAGCTCCCTTTGCCTTGCACAGTTTGAACTTAGGTTTCAGAGAATAATTTAGTGTTCCACTCAATTTCCTCAAAACATTATTATTATTACTACTTAAAAGATTTCCAAATGAAGCAAATCTAAATACTAAAAGAGGCTGAAGCATATTGTCATTTTAGAGCTAATGCATGAAAGCTATGTTCTGGCACCAAAAATACAATATTGTTGCCCCTGTGGCCAATGGGCAAAATAAACCATTTTGCAATCTAGCAAGCAACAGATTGCTTGGTTTATGTAAATCAATTTGTGAGGCGTAAAACATCTTTTCTCTTTTGCTCTGTGTGTACCTGGTAAGATTATCAAGTCAGGACTGTATTAACATTTTAATCAAACAACAGTAAGAGAAAGCAATGCCTGATCATTACCCGAAAGCACTACATCTAGTCATGAAAATAAAGTCAATGCATTTTTGCATCATGCGGTAATTTTTTAAAATATAAAATTCCCTGATAAAAGGGAAACTAATCTACTATGTATCTTACTGATAGATTAGCATTAGAAATTTTAAAGTTAGAATTCTTTATGCAGATTTTACAGTAGTGTTGTGCTACTGTATATATTTCTCAGATAACAGAACAGCTGATGATGTTTTTATTATTTAGACACATTATGTTGCTACTACTGTTATCTAGAAACAAATTTTTGTCAAAGAAAATAATTTCACAAACATCTTTCTATAAGGCATTCTAGACAAAATGTGTAGTAGAATGGTAAATAAGCTACAGTACCTCTGCTAGACTCCATATTGATGCTGTGCACTAAAATTAAAGAGGCCCAAATTTACCATCAGTCTCAAAATAATCTCTCTTAAAAACATTACTCTAATTATTAATATAGGAAACAACACTAAGCGTTTTCATTTCTTATCTTGTGACTTCAGTGAGGGAAGAGGACAAACTGATAGAGATCTATTGGGGGAAAACCATACAGAACATTTCATAATACTGCTTTTAATGGGAAAGGAAATGTTTCACTTATTTCCTTTGTTTTTATTATCTAAGTGCTTGCACCATAGTCACTATTACCAAGTGGAGGTTAGGAATGCAAAAGCAGCATGTAAAATGTCAACAAGAATCAATAAGACACAGTTTATGCATTTATCACAATTTCTACCCAGCAGCACAGCTTTAAGTAACTTACTGAGAGATGTTGCAATTAGCAGGTTTCAAATTAAAAGTGAAGCAACAGACAATTAAGCTATGTGCCCTCATAGATGGACTAGCTCCCCCCGCCCCACACTCCCTCCTTGCTCATTCCCTTTTTAACCAAAAAACTCAGTCACTGGGGGGCTTGCACTGCCAATATTATGGTATAGCTTCCCTCTTTGCTAACAACCCACATTCGTTTGCATTGCCTTGAACTGTTACGCTCTGGCGTGAAACAATTTTTGTAACAGTCAAGTACCATACCCTGAACTACTTATTTAAAGGCAATTTGTTCACAGTGCAGCCCATGATGAATATGTGTGCACCCTTTGCTCTATTCCAAGGTGCTCAGACTCATTCTATGGAGGGAGGGAGGCTAAACTACATTTTAATTATGGTATTTGGGTCCGAAGCTACAAAGTTAAGTCCCAATCTACCCTCAAATTTCCAACGGATAACCCGGGGCCACTTGCGCATGTAACTACTTGATATGCATAATTGTGGGCACAAATTAGGTGTGCAATTGCACTCCTAAATTATTTGAAAACCTAGCTTTTAAAGTGTTAGAATTAGTGCAGCGTTGAGATGGGTGAGTTCACAACTCTTTCTAACCATTGTTTCAGACTAAAACAATGCTCCATTTATTCACATTTAGGGGGTTATTTTTGTAGCTCTAAGAATTAGGAACATGCACACAGTACACATACATATAGATAGATAGATAAGCTTCCCTTCTGAAAAATCCATATCTGCCATGTTGGAGAGGAGGGGTCAGTTCTGGCCAACAGATGTTATAACACCCCCCTTATCTTGAAATTAATAGGCAGTAGACGTTGCATGAATGGTGGGAATTACTCCTTTTACATAAGGCACAATCAGCCTGTAGAATTCATGGCCACAGGTGGCTATGTGAGATACATACAGACAGCTTTATAACCATTAATAACATTTGTAGCTATGCAAGTTAAGATAAGACTAATCAAATCTCATGCTTCAGAGTGTAAGCTGTGGGAATCAAGAGGGAATTCCGCATCCCCTCACCTCATCATATAAAACACTGTATAATTGCCTAAGGCAAGGAGCATGCTTCCTCTGAAGCATGAATGATTGGACACTGCCAAAGGCAGCTTGGTTGGACCTGATGAACCAAGAGTCTGATCTGCTATGGCAAGTCCTATGCATCTTTTGGCCAAGCCTAGTGCCTCAACTACTACTAGAAATAGGGGCCATGGAACACAGTTGGGGCGGGGGTGGAAGGGAGAGGAAAAATAGTAACAGGAACATGAAGACACAACTTTTGTAGCCAAGACAACATGAAAATTACTTCCCCTTAAATCACCCAGTGTGTAACAACAACAGTCATTTTGTAAATGGGACCAACCTGTAATTCACCTCAAAATGTCAGGAATCACTAACAGAAAAGAAAGGGGGTGTTTTTTCACTTATTTCTCTAAGGCTGCCTTCTTACCGGCTAGAGCAGATAAACGATCGACTGGGGAAAGGTTTCTCAATTTAATTTCCTCCTACTGAGGGAACTGGAGGGAAGCACAGAGCCCTACCACAGCACAGATTTGGGAAACACATCTATTACACTTGTCATCTCAATCGGAAGGATCTCTCAACTCCGATGTTTTGTCTTTTTTCACAATTACAACTGGTTTTTAAGAGAACTGGCAAACCTATCACCAATACATCTCTAAAGCCTCTCCCTTTGAGTCCCCCCAAATATCAGGAATTGGAACTTCAAAATGATTTTGAAAAGTCTTGGCCTAATTGCTCCAATTGAAGACAATGCTGCCCCATGCAAGAAGGCTGTCATTGATCTCTTTTGGAACTTCCACGCCAGCAAGACATGCACAGTCCTGCACAAGACCATGTGTATACCCTGGACCAGTGTTTCTCCACCAGTGGTACGAATACCCTTAGGGGTTCTCGAGAAAAGTCTGAGGGGTACATCAACACAACTGAAATTCGGAGAAAACTAAAGTTTTGTTTTAAGTTTTACAGCGCTTTAGTATTTTTGTACTTTTGACACCAAAAAATTTCATTGCCCGCCTGGCTACAATTAAATTGTTTAAACAAATGTGTTGCAATGGTAGAAAAAAAAATTGTTCATCTGAAAACTGTAAGTTCTGGGGTACTTATATATATATATATTTTAAATGGGGTACTTATAAGTTGTTTTTTTTTGTAAAAGGGGTACTTTATAAAAAAAGGTTGAGAAACACTGCCCTGGACAATGCTTGTGAATAATATAGGAAACAGAACATTTTCAAAAGTGTCTTCACAGAAATGAAACTTGCCAGTTTTTCAGCGGTGCGAAGAACTCACAACTCCCAGTGAAGTCAATACAAGCTGTAAGGACCACAATTATCAGGCCACTTTTACTTTGTTGGCTAAATGTGGACTTGAGTCCACTATAGTTAAGGATGGAACTTTGAAAAAATTGACCCAAATGGACCTATATTAGCAGTTCTCTAACAGGGGTCGGGGGCGTGGAGGGGGGGTGAGGATGGGGGGAGTCAGGACATCACTGTGTTTCACAATTCCGGGCCTGAAACCAAAGCCTAAGGGCTTGAGGCCTTGGCGTCAGGGCTTAGATTACAGACCTCCTGCCTGAGGCTGAAGCCCTTGGATTTGGGCTTTAGCCCCTCAACCTGGGGCCATGGGGTTTGGGCTTTGGCCTCTCCCACCCAGGGTGGCATGGCTCGGGTTGGCTCAGGCTTCGGGTCCCCTCTCCTGGGGTCTTGTATTAATTTTTCTTGTCCAAAGGGGGATGAGGTACAATGAAGTTTGAGAACCCCTGATCTAAATGTTGAATAAAAAATCAAATTTATGTAAAAACATCTGCATGACTTTTTAGTCATCTAATATTTTGTGTCACAGAAGAAAGATTTGAGATGAAAAAAACCAGTGACATTTAAATGTTGCTTTAAAAATGTCGGCCTCTGGCTATACAGTTTGCGTAGGTGACTGTGTTTTGCCTTTCCAAATTCCAAGTTCTACTGAATACACCATTATTTTCACTTCTTCTCCTAAACAATAGGGGTGTTGTGTCCAGTTGACTAACAGCCACGTTTCATTCCACAGGTGAGGGTACATCAGTGACTGTTGACGTGATCCTTGAGCACAGCCTATTTAAATCTGTAAAGTGCTTTGGGGTCTCTGGGAAGAAAGGCTCTATAGAAATAGAAGACATTGTTAAAATGAAAACTTACAGGCAATTTGGAACAAGTCTATAAAAGGAAAGGATCCATTCATGTCCAATTATTTCTGGTCGGGTTTGCACAGTTTTCCATGCCTAAGAATTCCTCTGGTTCACACGTTAATGTGTTTCATTAAAAGTAAAACTTTGTCAAGTAGTTTAGTGTAACCTGTACAAGGGCTATCCTAATTGGGCAACCTTCCATCTTAAGAAACCGCTCCAAAGTATCCTCAAGGGTACTGAGTACAATTTTGTTGTATATTTATTAAAAGACTGAATATAATTTAATGGCACAAAGAAGAAGCTGGGAATGGCCGACAGAGGATGGATCACTTGGTGATTACCTGTTCCTTTCATTCCCTCTGGGGCACCTGGCATTGGCCACTATGGGAAGATGGGATACTGGGCTAGATGGACCATTGGTCTGAACCAGTGTAGCTGTTTTCATGTTCTTAGATTTTTAGTAGGCCCCTAACAAGGGATATGTCTACACTACCACCCTCGTTCGAACTAGGGTGATAATGTAGGCAACCGGAGTTGCAAATGAAGCCGGGGATTTGAATTTCCCGGGCTTCATTTGCATAAAGCCGGGCGCCGCTGTTTTTAAATGTCCGCTAGTGCGGACTCAGTGCCGCGTGTAGCCGCATGGCACGGAGTCCGCACTAGTGGACATTTAAAAATGGCAGCGCCCAGCTTTATGCAAATGAAGCCCGGAAAATTCAAATCCCCGGCTTCATTTGCAACTCCGGTTGCCTACATTACCACGCTAGTTCGCACTAGGGTGGTAGTGTAGACATACCCAGGGTTGCTTACTGGAGGGGTTACTCTATGATGTTTTCTACAGGTCTGGTATCTGTGAGCATGAGTGCAGAAAGCATGGTACAATGATTACAGAATTAGCCTAGGACTTGAGAAATAGGGTGTGCCGCTCCTTACTGAGCCACTGACTTTCTGCATGACCTCAAGCAAGTCAGTTTGCTGCTCTGTGCCTCAGTTCCCCATCTGTTAAAACAGCTGATATTTCCCTGCCTACTGTGAGGCTAAATACATTAAAGATTGTGAAATGCTTTGAGATCCACAGATGTAAAGTTCTATAGAAAACTGAGTTATTATTATTACTACTATCTCAGTTCAAATGAAAAAAGAGTTCTGGTGAAAAATGTTGGACTGAGAGCCCTGGAGATTGAAGTCACCTGTTTATACACATCAGAGAAACTTCAAGGTAACTGCAGTGCACTCATACCATAATTCCCTGTCAACATGCTGGAATTTTGGCTTTCTTCACCTAGAGATCAGAAGATGGGTTAAATTTCTCATTCCATTGTGATAGCAAAAAAAAAAAAAACAAAAAACAAAAAACAAAAAAACAAAAAAAACGGGGGGAAAATCCTCTGGAGTCCATGAAAAT